CTTTTTTCATGGGTTCTTCTTTCTTTCAGATAAAATAACTGCACAGACCAATTGACGGGCCAGTTGATCTTCCATGCTTGAAGATATGGCCTATAATCGCTGTAATTTCTCACGAGAATTTATGTGAGAAAACGTATTTTTGCTGATGGTCGGGAACGCGTCTTCACTGAATGTTTTGTAGTGTGTGCACCTCGTTAGCGTTGTGTTGTGTAGTATGCGCGCAGCTATGACAAGACAACGACAGATTAGAACAAATCTTGTTGCGTAGCGTGAGCAACACAGTGATTCGGCTAGTCTTTCAATCCTGTAGTGTGAGCTGGAAAGTGATTTTGAGCCTCTCTGTGATGGTACCACGAGGCGTCGCTCACTAGCGGATCTCAGACTTCTGAAGGGGAGTCTTCTGAACTTCGTGACTTCTGAACATAGTGATTCGGCTAGTCTTTCAATCCTGTAGTGTGAGTCAGGCTTTAGTTGCTTAGCCTATATCCACCGCCTCAATGGCACAGTAACCCCTCACTGCAGAACACCAGATCCAGGGGGAGTGGTTGGATCCACATCTAGGGGGTGGAGATTGGTAGGTTTAGGGGCCCTCCAGCTGCATTTCGTGCGTCATCAGTGACGTCATGTGCAAACAACCTATAAACAAAATCAAAAACGCCTGTTTCAGAGTGAAAACATTGTTTTTAAACTGGATATAAATGTTATTTAATTCCAATAATTTTTCATTAAAAAAAATGTCGAGTAGCTGGGGAGGAGATCAGGTGTTACGATATTTTCGGTTTTTAAGATTTTCGGTTTCAATGGGCGGAGCATACATGAATATTCATGAGTTTCCCGGACTTGCATGTGGAACTGAGAATTTTAGTTCACACTCCTTAAATCTCAGCAGATTTAACGGAATACTTCAGAAAAGGTAAATATATTTTCAGTGTTGCACAAACTTAAGCCTAAACTACATTTGTTCATAATTTTGTAACACTTTATAATGTTTTTATTTGCAGGTTTTGTGCAGCCGTCACTGACTGAATGATTGCAGGCATTCTTTGTGTAATGTTGGGATAAAGCACAGCAAACTATGATTTCAGTTCGTTGTGCTGTAGCTTATTAGTTGTTATCATTTGAGTGCACCAACTGAAATAAACTTGTATCTGTGGACTAATAATTTTTCATCTGTGATTGTTCTTAAACTGTTTAGCATATTTACAAAATGAACAGGAATCTAAACCACACACAAGCATGAAATTGTTCCTTTAATAGGCCTACATACGTAAAATTTTGGGTTAAACAAAATAGTTTGGACAAGTGTAAAAAGTAGCCTACACTGTAAAAAATGACCGTGAATTTAACGGTAAAAGACTGTAAAATGTTACAATAAAAACCTGTTAAATGGTTAACGGTAAGTTCCCCTACTATATACGGTGAAAAACTGTATTGGACATTACATGTAATTTTACAGTAGTATACCGTTTTTGGAAGTGAAAAAGATTGTATAATTTACAGTGAATAACCGTAAATTAACATTCCCAGAATTCCCTGCGTTACATTTCAAATGTAATGTTTTTTTTTGTTGAAATATGTTTCTTCTTAGTTTTTTCTTATCAGTTGTGTACATTATATGTTGTATGTTACATGTAATGTTGTTCAATTAATGTTTATTGCATTATTTCAGTTTCATGTGTGTTACCATGATGGTGTTTAGTGTTTGTGTGAATGACACTGTGCACCTTCTATATATGTTATTATTTAAAAGCTGCTTGTGATAGGCTTTGGTTCATCATGTGATTTTCTCATCACCACCTGCTTTTGGTGCAGTATATTACAAAGGTACAAAACAGATTTCAGTACTTCAGTGGGTTAGTATATTAACATTATATCAGTTAAAGAAATTACGGTACTTAACTGTAAATTTAAGTTAAAACTGAAAAAAATTTGTAAAAAGATTTTTACGGTAAAATTCTAGCAACCACAGCTGCCGGTTTTTTACCGTAAATTTTTTTTTTACAGTGTACATTTTGGTACACTGTAAATGAGAAAACAAATAGCCTATACTTTACAGCATGTTATGGAATGGAATAAGCAACTAATTTGATGTTAACAAAATAATTTTATTTTACAAATGTTCATAAGTGTGCTTGTTCTTGTTTTGATAATATGATTATTGATTACTGTTTAAAGGTTTTGTATTAGTAAGGTTCTTTGTTCACCAACTGCATTTATCTGATTAAAAATATAGTCAAAAACAGTAATATTGTGAAATGTTTTTGCAATTTAAAATGACTGTTTTCTATTTTTTCCCTGTGATGTCAGATCTTGACTTCTCCAGTCTTCAGTGTGACAAGATCCTTCAGAGATAATTCTAATATGTTGATTTGATAATTATCACAGTTAGAAATGGTTGTACTGCTTAATGAAGTGTGGAAACCATTATACAGTGCAGGATTCCTTTAAATTAACATTCCCAGAATTCCCTGCGTTACATTTCAAATGTAATGTTTTTTTTTGTTGAAATATGTTTCTTCTTAGTTTTTTCTTATCAGTTGTGTACATTATATGTTGTATGTTACATGTAATGTTGTTCAATTAATGTTTATTGCATTATTTCAGTTTCATGTGTGTTACCATGATGGTGTTTAGTGTTTGTGTGAATGACACTGTGCACCTTCTATATATGTTATTATTTAAAAGCTGCTTGTGATAGGCTTTGGTTCATCATGTGATTTTCTCATCACCACCTGCTTTTGGTGCAGTATATTACAAAGGTACAAAACAGATTTCAGTACTTCAGTGGGTTAGTATATTAACATTATATCAGTTAAAGAAATTACGGTACTTAACTGTAAATTTAAGTTAAAACTGAAAAAAATTTGTAAAAAGATTTTTACGGTAAAATTCTAGCAACCACAGCTGCCGGTTTTTTACCGTAAATTTTTTTTTTACAGTGTACATTTTGGTACACTGTAAATGAGAAAACAAATAGCCTATACTTTACAGCATGTTATGGAATGGAATAAGCAACTAATTTGATGTTAACAAAATAATTTTATTTTACAAATGTTCATAAGTGTGCTTGTTCTTGTTTTGATAATATGATTATTGATTACTGTTTAAAGGTTTTGTATTAGTAAGGTTCTTTGTTCACCAACTGCATTTATCTGATTAAAAATATAGTCAAAAACAGTAATATTGTGAAATGTTTTTGCAATTTAAAATGACTGTTTTCTATTTTTTCCCTGTGATGTCAGATCTTGACTTCTCCAGTCTTCAGTGTGACAAGATCCTTCAGAGATAATTCTAATATGTTGATTTGATAATTATCACAGTTAGAAATGGTTGTACTGCTTAATGAAGTGTGGAAACCATTATACAGTGCAGGATTCCTTGATGAGTAGAAAATTCAGAAGAACAGCATTTATTTGAAATAGAAATCTTTTGTAACATTATAAATGTCTTTACTGTCATGTTTATTATTATTTTAATGCATCCTTGTTGAAGAAAAGTATACATTTCTTTAAAAAGAATTATAGCAATTCCAAACGTTTGATTGGTAATGTCATGAATCAAATGCCAGAATCAAGTTTAGAAATGTATTATTATTATTATTATTATTATTATTATTATTATTATTAGGCTACATATCTTACATATGATCTTATAATAGCTTTATTATGTGTCATATGTTTATACAGTAGATTCAATAAGGATGTTTACATCACTCTCGTCTCCTATGTTTTTTTGTTTTGGTGCATAAATCTTTAGTTTGTAACAAGAATTCAACAGTGGATCATACTCAAAATTCAGGAAAACTTTATTAATCGCATCCTCCATGCCTGGATTTTGGATTTTGAGTGTAGATCGCTATTGAATTCATATTTTTAAAAACAAAATGTCACTGTCTCACATAATATCAAACATCCACACCAGCGTTATACTAACATCTAGTTAGCAAAAGCTAATCAAGACCTTGATCCAATCTTTATTCCACTTTAAGTGACTCTAATTAAAGCCAAATTAAGAATATATATGTATATGAAACCTTATGACTTATAAATTATGTTGAATGAGTGTTTATTGTGCATGAAAATAGATCACGCATTTGTATCAATGATCATCATTGTCATCCAGGTACAGTGCAACACAGGGTCAAAGAAGAGATGACAGAACAACATCAGTGTAGGTTGCAAAATGTTTATTAGACCAATGGTGGTGGATGTTATTTCATTCATTGCCAGAGGATGAGTTTTAAAACTTAAAAAGTAACAGAAGAGCATAGCAATAAATAATTGAAATAGTTGGTGCACATATCTATGCTACTATTGTAAATCAGTGTTGCTGTAATCATCCAGATGTTCTGGGATTTTTGGTTGGTTTCACTGTGCAAGTGGAACCTTAAACCTTGTGATAATCTTCATTTGTAAACTACAAATGAAGAGCACATCGAACTGAAAACATTGTATACAGCTGAGGTTTGTACTTTATCCCAACATTACACAAAGAATGCAATCGTTCAGTCAGTGACGGCTGCACAAGAGTTTGTGTGAACAAAAATGTGCACTGCAAACTAATAAAAACATTATAAACTGTTATGAAATGATTAATCAACTGTAGTTTATGCTTAAGTTTGCGCAACGCTGAAAATATATTTACCTTTTTTGAAATATTCCATCAAATCTGCTGAGATTCAAGGAGCGTGAACTAAAAATTCTCAGTTCCATGCACAAGTCTGGGAAACTCGTGAATATTCATGTATTTAATGCCCATTGAAACAGAAAATCTCAGTCCTGTGCAGCGCTATCGCTGACTGACCGCGGCGACGGTGCCAAATTCTCTACCGCGATATGTTTCTAAAACCAGGCATCCATATACTAGCAGTGTTGGCAATGATATTTCTTTTTTTTTCATTATTTCTAAGTGGTTACGGTTGGAACAAGGTCACAACTGAGTTTTACACACCAGAAATAAAAACAATCAGCATTCAAGACTGATTTTTATTATTCACGCAGGGAACTCAAGACCAAAATAATGAAAGAGGACACCAAGAGAGAGCTACTGGAATATCAGCCTAAACTCAGTGATTCCCTCTGTATCCGCTGTCTGCAGCCCTTCAAATTCCTTGTCAACAGGAAGCGCCAGTGTCTGGATTGCAAGCTATTTGTCTGCAAGTCCTGCAGCCGTTTTAATAAGAAGGACCATGGCTGGGTTTGTAATCCATGCCACATGGCCAGGTGAGCACCTGACAGACACGAGTGTGATTTATATGCTCACATGACACATGTCAAAGGAACAACATAAAGAGAAATGAAATAAAACACAATAAGCAGAACGAATTTCCGTGTAAATAATGCGGAAAACAATTATTGTTGTAAATTGTCAAATTCAATTCAGTGGGACAATGTAGGCTAAGAATAGTCTCAGCCTCAGACGTCACGCACACGGAACGTTGGCTAAACGTCTGATGCATACGGCACAAAAAAGTGGAAACACTTCAGCAGTTTCGAAGTCGTCATCGGATTGGTTGAATTATACAGGATTTCCGGGAGACGTGTGTGTCGCGTTCTTTAACGTTCCGCCTGGAAACAAAGATGCCATGACGCCAAACCCCCTCACGAAAGAAGAAAGCCGTCGTGTTTACAACTTTGACGACGAGCGCTTATCAGGTTCAACTAAACGCTGGATTTTCAAAAGTATGTGAAAAATTTAAAGTTCGCGGCATAGAATCTTTAAAATACGTCCGAGAGTTTTACACACCGGTCTGTTATTGTGGCGACAATTCCACGCCCCGAAACGTGACAATGAACGAAACGAACTGTGATTGGTTGTTTGACATGTCAGTCAAACGGCCTCATGGGCGGGCCTTGGCCAATGAAAGCTGCCATGGATTCCAGACCTGCGTGTTTATGCGGTTTAAGGTTCAAAAAACAAATTATTTTCCCGTCTTTCTGAAACGCGTCGATTTTTACAAAGCTCATCGGTCTGAAAAGCGAGGTGTGTTCTGATTGGCCAGCTATCCAGTGCGTTGTGATTGGCCGAATACCTCAAGCGTGTGACGGAAATGTTACACCCCTGACCATACTGTGATGCCCTGTCCGGCCGGAGCGACGAGACAGAAACATTAAAACACATTATAAACGAGGCATTTGTTGCATCCAGTGGGGATATAATTACGGATTACAATGACTTATACTGTCTTTTTACGCGTTGTGTTGCATCGCGCCGTGTAAACATAAAACCATGTCTGCATTTGTGATCGGAGAAATGAC